ACATTTCTGTTCTCTCTGTTCAGTGAACATTGTCGGATGAAATTCTAGGATCCGTTGGTTAATTTGGCTTCTTATATTTCATGATGGGCTGAAACATGATACAAGGAACAAAATATAAGATTTTTTTCATGTAATTTTCTTGCAAAACTGATTTCTACGATTCATATTCAAAATGCAGCTGTAGCTGATGTGACTGTGAGCCAACTTCTCATGCCACTGGGCAAAGTAGAAACAAGTCAACGCCCAGAGTCATGTATTTATTATTTTTATTTGTGCCTCCCTCTGTGCAAAGTCGTATTTCATGTTCTTCACTATGGCAGACACTTTCTTGCTTGCATCTTTATTCTGACTAAATTCTTCAAACATGAGCCCTCTCCCTCATAATTTACACGGGCAGTTATTATTTTAAAACTCACTGAGCACTACAATTCAAGATACAGATGTGAAACACCTGGGCTACCAATGATGGGCTCTGCCCATAAAGATGAGTCCGACCTGGACTTTTCCTGCATTTAAAAGTCACGTGAAAAGTAACTGAGTTGTGCTTTTTCGCCTGAAGTCTCACGCAGGTAAAGTGGTGCTGGCTGGTACGAGAAAGAACAAGCACATCTTCCCTGCCAGTCGCTGGGAGCCATACGACCCTGAGAAGAAATGGGACAAATACACAGTGAGAATCTTTTTTTTTTTTTTGCTAAATGTCGAACACGCTTCATTTTCAGCAGTAAATTACTTCATTTCCCTGAAGGGAACGTTCAAGGTCCCATCTAATCTCAAACCTGATCAGTCTGCTAAAACACTGTTTTTTCCATTTTAATTTGATTTTCATGGTAAATCGACTCTTTTCTCAGTAGGAGGCAGCTGTTTTTAAAGAATCTGATAAACCAGCTTAGTTTAGTTTAGTTTATTGATTTTATTTAAAAGGGACAACGCAATTTAACACAGTTCCAATACAAAGCGTTTATAGCTATTTGCTAATTTCACACTCTTGCCACTAGTGGGGCTTTTACATGTGCAGTGTAATTAAAATAGTCGTTTTACATTATCATAAAACCACAATACACTACAGATATGAAATTAGAGTAAATACTATATGTATACTGAAATGCATTGATTGTGATGTACAGTCTAAGAACAGACAACAACAAGAACAGAACAAACAAACTGACGAAACAATTAATAATGTAATAAATTTAGCTTAAGATGTACAGTGGAGCATTTAGCCGCCAAAGAGAGATCAACTTGAACTTAGATTCAGCAGGTGGACAGAAACACAACTAACTAATTAACTAATTAATTGTGTCCATTACGGCCACGTCTACTGGTTCTTCAAAACAGGTGTGGCCAAAAACACTAGTGAAGCAACACAGAGTGTACGACCTGAGGCAAAAAAGAGCGTGAATACACGGAGAGATAAATAATGGTGTTCAGAAACAGAGGATGATTAAACTGCCATGAAGCCACTGATGTTCATGATTTGGAAAGAGAGACCGTGTCGTCAAGCCTCCTCTACCATCCTTGATCAGAGAGGAGAAATGCCATTTGTCAGGTCACAGAGTTGTCCGTGACTAAAGCTCCCGGCTTCAGGTTCACGTTCGTGAGTGAAAACAGCAGGTTCACAACTTGGAGCATGAAGTCCCGCTGCCAGAAATCAGCAGGCCGATGTAGCAGTAGCATTGTCAGTACGGAGGACCAGAGACGTGTCGTCAGAGCAGCTCCGCACTGCCGACACTCGTAAAGAGAGAAGGATTTAACATGAAGTTAGATGTGAAAAGAACAAATAACTAATATGAGAGGTGGTCATGTGACAATCCTGGTGATATTAGCATAATAATATGATAGAAGGTGTTGCTGCATCATCAGGTGTAACAGAGGATGATGCATTAAGAACCTGAGACAGCTGAGTGCACAGTCATAGACTTTCCCAACTTTCTACTCTAAAGTTTCTGTGCTGAAATTTGACTTTAAATCTCTTTTTAAATATATATATGTATATATATATATATATATATATATAATATGCTGAGCACAATGTTAATTTTGCAATAAGTAATATTGATAAAATTTCGGTGTCATATTTACTCCAGAAGTCATTATGATGTGAGGTCAAATAAGGGTTTGCCCTGCAGAGAGTCTGTGACTCATGACAGGTCCGGACCACTCATGAATTCTGCACATGCCTGACAGAACTACTCCAGTATTTTTTACAGTGAAATAAATCTTCAGTCAAAACCTGTGTTCATGTCCCAAAGCAGTAAATGATAAAAGTATTTATTTCCATGGGGGAACTGGATAAGAAACTGTGTGTGTGTGTGTGTGTGTGTTGCATTTTGAGGGAGTGAGTCCTGGTGGAGCTGCCAACTCTCTTGCATGGGCACGCTACGACATAGCAGTTTTGGTCATGATGTGTGTGAGTAACCCCACATTTTGTTTTCTTTTTGTTTTTCAGATTCGATGAAACGGCTCTCCCCTCCTCTCTCTGGAATCTCTTGTGCAAACTCTTTGTTGTTAATTTCCATCTCATTTTACACTGTTACACCATAGTTCATTAGTGCTTTTTATCAAGATTTGATAAACTATTGATTCATGATTTTACTTGGTATTTGAAATACTAGTTTTTTCCCCAAAGTGATTTGAATTACCAATGCAATGTTTCCTGTGAAAACAAGCCCACATCCATATGTATATAGCTCAAAAAACATATTGCAGCATCTGTGCTTAATAAAAGGAACCTGGACTAATGACTAAAGCTTTACTGCATTTGGCACCAACACTCCTGTGTGTGTCTGTTGAATGTGAATATGCTCTCTTTGATATCCTAGTTGTGTTTGAAAGCGGAAACTGTCTCCTGCTCCCGAATCACGAAAAGAATCCAGTGTGGCTTCGAAACTGTTAAAACATGTCCAGTGAGCTCGCTGGCCGCACCTCCACCCATAGCCTACAGACACCACACCCCTCAACGTCCTTCTCCCTCCTCCCTCGCTCCTGTCACTCACATGGCGCTGAAGACACAACAGGTTTCACTTTGCGACTGCTGGCTTCTTACAAGTCCAGGTCAGTGAGGAAGTGTGTAATTGTATATATATATATATATAAAAATGTGTGTGTGTGTCCGTGAGTTTTAGGTCATCTGGACAATGTCATGCTGGCTGTAGCAGCATGTGGAGGGCAGCTCTAGTTTTGTACCAGTTCTTGACACTCAGTCAGCCTCTCTGGGCTCAAGATGATGTCGCAGGCGCTGCTTTCACTCCTCAGGATTGCAGTCTGGACTGTATCCGACAGGTGAGCCAGTTTACACCTGCTCTACGTTTACCGTGCTCTGTGGAAGCTTTGTGCTACAGTTTTGTGTAACATCGATTTGTATTAGGGTGTCTAATCCAGGAGGATTTCTGTGTAGCCAAACTAATAAAATGTTACAGCTGACATGGAGTAAACTACTGGTGAGGTCTGCTCTGCTATAAAACAGGCTGTGTCTCCTCCAGCTGCATCTGTTTATTTTGGCTGTTACGTACAGTGGAGGAGCTCAGACAGAAAACCTACAGTTAATGTTTATGGTTTAATGTCCATTAGAAAATGTTCTGAACATTTCTGAAACTGTGCAAACATTAGATTCGTGGGGTCTTTATTCTGCCACATTGTCTGTCCTCTGTCTAACACAGTAGTTTTGTCAAATTGGGATATAAGCGTTATCCAGAAACCTGTGGAAAAATTATATGTGAAATATACAATGCATCATTATTCGGTTGTAAAAATGTCTGAAGATAAATCTTAACAAGTTTAGAAAATTAATCTTTGCTTTTTTTTTTTAATGTGAATTACTAGAAAATTACACCTGATCACAAAGGAGCAGAAAAAAAAATCTAATTCCTTGGTTGATCTGGTTATAAGCTGGAGCATGTACCTCCAAGCCACATCTGCAGCTTGTGATGAAAAAAAACAGCTTTATTTAGGAGGAGTCACAAGTTGTAATCAACAAGTGTAAGTCTAGAAAGATCTGTTTCATCTTTAAGCGGGAGGCTTCATGTTTTCCTAACAGAAAACAGCAGGGGCTTGAGTATTTACTACTCTTTCTGAAAATTCCTGTTCCTCTGGAGCATGATATTTATGCCTCTTCACTGAGGAAAGGTTGTATTGCAAAGCCCTTTATTGCCCACATCCTGTATCTACAAGAGGCGATAAAACATCCACCTTTGCTGAAACTTGTAAATCAGGCTCTTGTGACACATGATCTTACCTGGTCTTTCTCAGATCTGTTTGAAATGACATATAGTTCACATAGACTCAAATAGGTTACTCCAGGCAGTAGATTATGATGCCGTCGCTTGTGTGAGCCTCTGTGTGCTGCAGCCTGTGACAGAGAGTCGTTAACTTACAGAAACAGTAAGTCGACAGAGGAAGAATGCGAGGTTGCCATGTTGACCTGAACTCTAAGGTTATAGTTTTTTCTTTGGCTGCATGTCAACTTCTTTCATTCTGTGAATAGAGTAGGGTTTTATTTTCATTTTTTAAAAAACAACAAACCTCTTTCGTCTCTTGTGTGGCTACTGAGTGTAAACACACACACACACACACACACACACACACACACATACAGAGTTGTTAAAATCTTGCAGGTGTTGTCTTTTCTGATCCTTCACTTCTCAGTTGTAGCATGCATGCTAAGCACGTTGATTATGGCATCTCATCAGTTTGCGTGCAAGTCAGTATTTAGGCCACTGAGACTTCTGACGGCTATTACCTCACTTGACAGTTTAACTACCTTTGTGTGAACCAGCATACACGTGGGTGCATGCACACACACACACACACACACACACATAGTGTTTCTCTCTCATGCCTCAGGCAGACGCAGCATTTCTTCCTCTCATTTTCTCCACCTGTTAGTCTAGTTAAGGTCTCTAAACCTGCAGGGCAAGTTGTCAGTGTTTATCAGAGGTGGAAGACGTACTCAGACCCTTTTACGTAAATAAACAGCAATGAAAAAAATACTCAAGCACAGATAGAAATCATTCTATACAAGTATTATCAGCTAAATGTACTTAAAGATACAAACATATAAGTACTTGGTTCCTGTTGCTGATATATTATGTTTTACATTATTACACTGTTAGTTCTCATGAATAAAACTAGTCCAGTGGTTCCCAGCCGAGGGGTCGGGTCCCACCAAAGGGTCATCAGATAAAGCTGGGTCATGAGATGAAAGAAAAGATCGTAGTCATTTTTCTTTTGTCATTCCTCTTCCTGTTTCCTGCTGTTTGTGAAATATCTGATAACAGTACCACCCTGGGCCTGGACCAGTGATTTAAATGAAACCATGTGAGAGGGTCAGAGAGAGAATAATTTGGTTGAGCTGCAAACAACTGGCAGACATCTGAAACCTGTGACAATGGGCCCCCAGATACAGATTTTTATTTGAATTTGATAGTTTACCCCACATATGTTTTTTCATGTAAAAACATGATCTGAAAAGTAACCAGTATCAGCTGCAGCTGGTTTCTGTGTTGAAACAATTACTGTCACCTGTTTGCCCCGAGGCAGCTGGAACAAATACATATCAAAGAGATTTACCATCTCTTAGAAATCCTGTTCTGATTTATCAGTATCTGAATGCGTCAAACTGATGTCATGTGAAAACTTTTAACAAACTAAACGTCAAGTGAGAACATTTAGTCAAGTACAGTTTTGAAGTACTTGTAATTCAATTTCATATTTTATACTTCCACTACATTTTAGAGGGGTACATTTGACTTTTTCCTTGATGTGACAGCTGTTAAAAGGAACCACATTTTCATCATTAGTATTGTTTATGATTTCCCATAAAAGGGAATTCACGGCTGATAGAGGGTTTGAGCCACTCGTGTAAGTGTCTGCAGATGTTTGGAAATAACACAGACCCTTACTTGATCTGTACTTGGCTCATCGTATACTATATTCCTCTTCAAGATCATGTACTGTTTATTTATGCCTCCGCATCAGCAACAGGTCTAATTCTAGGTTGAATTATTTGTTTCTTAATGTCTTAAACGCTTTATAGCACAGAGAGAGAAAGAGCAGAATAAAAGAAGGAGAAAACAAAAGAAACTAGAATTACCACCTCAAACCCCTGAGATATCTCTATATAAGATATCATTATTTTCTATGAAATAAAGTAACTAAAGTAAAACTGAAATAAAATAATAAAGAAATGACAGTGAAGATAAGTTTTTTCTAACAATCTGAAAAGACGGTGTCATTTGAAGCGTACTCCTGCTTTTACATTCGGCCCAGTTGCCAAGAAGTAGAAGTGCATTTTAAATTGACTCCCAACAGCAATGGAAAGACGTCCAGCTGGGTGAAGGAATGATGGGATTTCCCTCGTTTTGAAGCAGCCATTGAGAAAGCTATGTTGCCTGAGCGCACCCCTCTTAAACATTTCCATAAACACTTCCTTTAATGATGTTATTATCAGCTTATTTCTAGTTTTATTATTTGGCACTTAGCTTATGTATTTGTTGTTGCTATTAAATTCCTAATTTCCCACTTGTGTAAGCAGAGTGTTCTTTCTCTTTATTGCGTCTGACCCAGTCGTTTGTTCTCTTGGCAGCTGAACAGTGAATGTTCACAATCATGAGCTAGTTTACAGCAACTCTAACGTAATGTTTAAGTTCAGGTCAACAAAAAACCTGTAGCTATAAACAGTGTTTTTATTGTCCTTCCTATGTTCCTTCATGTCTTTAAATGACCTTTATTTATTTGGGTTGTTCATCACCTGACACAAAACACGGAGTTTCTTTGTTTGAATTCATTATTACTGTCTCTTCTGCAGGGAAGGCCAGAATGTGAATACTGCAGAATAACCAGAAGTGATGTCAAGCAGGCTCTGGGTTTTAACTCTGTAGCAGCATTTGGAAGTAAGTCTGATCCAGACAGGCTGCACCGGACCCACAGCCAATCCTGCAAATGTCTGCATTCCACCTAATTACACTCAGAAACTGTGTTAAAACCCAGAATGCACTTAGAAATGCTAAATGTATTTTGGCAGCTGTGAGATGTTCACATTGCACTAAAGGTCTCTATCCTGCATGCCCTTAACCTGAAACCGTCATACTGTTTGCACTCCATCATAGCGTTTAAACACAGGTTAGCTGAAAGAGCCAAGGGTATAACAAGTTTTCACTGCTGAGGTCATAAACACAAATGACAATTGTCTGTGTTATTACAATGAACAGCAGATGACAGAAGAGAAACTCCAGGTAATCCCATGTCAAATATTTGTCTAAGTTCAACCTTTAGTGTGTGTGTAATATACGTATATCAACTACTGCTGGATGGATAACCATTAAACTTTGTACAGATACTTGTCATCCCGTGAGGATGAAAACCACAGACTTTTCCTTTAGAGTCACCGTCGACATTTTCCATCAGCCTAGGCTCAACTTTGTGTTTAGTGCTTATTAGTAAATGTTAGCATGCTAACACTATAAACTCCCCACTGTTGAGTGCTGGCTCACTGTGGGAGCTGTTGGGTTTCTCTATAATATTTTAAGGGCTTGACATTACCCTGTAAAGTACCTTGAGATTATGTATCTTATGATTTGGTGCTGTACAAATAAAATTGAAGTAAACAAAGATGGTGTAACGATAGCTAAATGTTAGCTGCTGAACATACGTAGGTTAGCAACTACAGCCTCACGTAGCTGTAGACTTGTCTTGCTTAAATATCCAGTTTGCTTTGCATTATTGAATGTCTACTTATAAACTGCCAATAAATTATTACTGAAAATGTCTTAAATACTTTCACATCATGTGTATCTGTTGTTATTTCTCCTCAGGTTGTATACCATGGCCGTGTTTTGAGTTGCTAGGAGACATAGACACTAAAATCTGCCAGCACTACGTCCAGGCGCCAAATGAAGTGAAGGTTGAATCTGTCCATGAGCCGAGCCCAACTTCTGAGACCATTGTCGTCTCCTGGAAGCCCAGTTACTATGGTTTGTTGATGAGGGCTGACTACTGAACACTCACATCTATTTTCAAACCAGTCTCAGTTTGCAGTTGTTATAAGGACACGTAGCGTTAACTTTTAAAATCCCAGCCAGCTTTGAAACTCATTCATCATGTCAGATGTCATGAGTTACCTCCCACGAGGGTTTGACATTAACTAAATTTATTTCAGGTGACTTTCAGTGAATTATTATTGAGAGGTAAATCGCATGAGAGAAAGCTCAGCTGATCGTCCCATGTGACAGGTGACAGTGTAACAGACTTACATGTTAACTTGACCGTGCTTAATTGACCATGCACTGAACTGCTGTAGCACGTGCAGCACGGACATGTTTTTGAAGTTGGAGTATGTATATGTGCAACTTTGATGATGGATTGCCACTGAGTGTGTGACACTGATTCCACTCCGTCCCTGTTGTGTTTGCTGCAGGGATCGCCTTCCTGCGAGGCTTTCAGGTCTCCCTCCAGGTGTTGGGAAGGTCCACTATTGCCTGTCAGCTTTTTCTATTCCAGCGTAACCTCTCCCTCCCAGCCTCACATGCTCAAAGGGTAGGAAGGGCCCCACTCACTTTGGTCTTTGGCTCTTTTTCTTTCTTTTTGTCTGTCTGGTATGCTGTTTGACAACATGAATTTTTATTAGAACCGCAGAGTTTCTCTGGTGTTGACTCGCAGGAAGGAATGTTGCAGTCAGTTAGTCAGACCCACAATTTATGACCTGTTGATTGCAAAATTACATATGCTGTATTTAGTGTGAGATCACAGTGGCATCATCATCCCCAGAACTGGAAATACGATATGTCTTTATAGTAAACAGATGTAAAATTTACACTGAAGTTGATCCAAAAGCTGTAAAAATCATAAGTGTTATTAATGTTGCCTGTCACTACGAGCACGTCCTGAAGAAATTTACGAGCCATCACATCAAACTCCATTTGGACACGCTCACAACAATGGGCAGCAGTCAGAATCCCACACAAGCACAGGCAGACAAGCAAGCTCCACACAAACTGGTGATGGAGGTGGAGCAGCACATGGGCTACTGATATTCAAACCACATACACATGAAATCCAGTAAAAAGAACATGGAAAATTATTGTGCGCTGTGTTTAGTTTGCTACTGTATTAAAACAGTTTATGTCACACACACTGGATTTCCAGGGATAAAAATATTCTTGATGAATGTGGGTTGTTATATTTATGGCCCAGTTGTAGGGATATTAATCCAGACAACATTACATATCAGGTTAAACTCTAACTCGGCCATCCAGATCTCCAGGATAACCCGGCCTCAGTTTAATTACAACAGGATGTTTAGGGTTCTAGTATCATTATATATGAGTTTGCCTTAGCTTTGACAATGAGAAGATTTGTTAAATAATGTTACAAGTCAATGGTACAGTCCAAACACTGTTGAATAAAAACAATATTCAATACTCAAGCTACATGAGTTAACCTAATCTAGACCTGTTAAATTTGTTTTAAAAATGGCTGCTCCTTTACTGTTTAATATTTTATTATTATTATATTATTATATAATATATTATTATTTAATTACCTATCATTTTCCTCCTCATCATATTGTATTTACCCATTTCTGATCATCAAGTATTGCTGTTCACTTACTTTATTTCTGTTTCTTGTGTTCCTGTACCTCCTGGAAAAGTGTTACGACTGTTACATGTAAATAACCAAAAAGTACAACACATAAACACAGTGATGTAGGTAAACAGATCAGAGTATAACCAGTCACAATCTTCAAGAAAGACAAACAAAAGGAAATATGAAGCAAATAATCACATGTTACACAACATATTAAGTCAATATTTCACATTGACACTTTTTTGTTTCTTTATTTTTAAGGAATATCAAGTATTCTCATTTAAATCCTGTGGATCTTGTCACGAGTGAACATGTTCTTTGAAAAGATAAAGACACAAATAGAGACAAAACCAGTTTTAAGATTGAATACAGGATAGAAAAACAAGACAGGCTTGAAAACAGAGCAAAAAACTGATAATGAGATTTCATATGAGAGAAAAAAATTCTCCTCAACCATTTATAAAGCATCTGTGAAATACTGTGATCTCACTTTATATGTTTTTAATTGTTCAAGTTTGTTTTTATTGTTTTAAAATGTTTAAAATGTTTCAGTTACATCTTAAAGTTGTATATTCAATATATTTCCAGGCTTCTGTGCAGCACTTGTGTCTTAACGGTGCTATATAAATAAACGTGCCTTTATCACCAAAACCTGTGCACAGATAAAAGTGTGCAGCGTGTTTAAACAAAACCAAGGTCATGGTTGCCGCTGTGTTCTGCAGGTGTACAAGTCGGACCCTTTCCCCGGCCTCCCCCTTGGGTCCCAGTATGCTGTTACCGTCATGGCTCTGCCGGTGCCTGAGGAGTGGGAGAAGTTCTACCACAGCGAGATCTTCTCCACTCGCTGTAAAACCCCCTTTAAGCTGTAGGCTAGATAAAACATGCACACACAGTTTCAGTGGACGTCTCAGAGCTCGTGGCTACTTCAGGGAAACCTTTAAAATCTAAATCTGTTGACTTGTTTACAGTACATTCATACATACAGTATATCTCATGCTCTGTTGTCAGGAAGCTTGTTTAAACAGTGCACTTTTTGTTTTTACTTTCGGTGAGACTATTTACAAATCAGTGGTGAATTTATTTTAATATGCACGATATGGTTTTGCAGCATGTGCAGAGAAGAACGGTCTTGAGCAGTGCAAAAAGGGTGAGAGAAAAATAAACTTAATTAAATGTTTAAATGTGTTTTTCCTATGATCAGCTTTACATCTGTTAATATTCTACGGTCTGGTTGCAGACTGGTACCCTGAACATGTTGAGGTCCAGCAGGAGGGGACTGCTATCAATGTGACCTTTAACCTGGCTCCCCCAAACCTGGGCATCACAAGCTACTTTTCACTTTGTTACGCAAATGGAATGAAGAAATACACAGCTATAACACCTGTGAGTGGGTTCAGCTTCTGCAGCTTTATGTTTATTCTGTGGCTTTGTTTTCATTAATCCCTTTCTTCCGTTACTTACATTAAAGAAACAGTTGATCATGAAGCGAACTTAATAATTGTATTAACCATTAATTCAATTTCCTTAGAATTTCACCAGTAACAAAACTCACCACAGCTACCAGCTGGATGACCTTCAAGAAGGAACCAATTACACTTGTGAGGTAAAGTAAGTGGTGGCTCACCGATGGCTTAGTCCTAACGGCAGTGGCCTACACATGTCACGCCCTCTCTCTCTCCCTGACTTTCCTGTCTCTCTCTCACTATTGTTCTCAGAATAAAGGCACAAATGCCTTAAAAATAACTTTTAAAAAAAGACACAAAACACAATAAACCAAGTTTTTTTTTTTTTTTCAAATTTTCAATAGATATTGTGATAATATCGTTGTCATGAATTCTTTTGACCACAGTTGAAAGCTCAAGAAAAAGTCTGAACTTTGAGTTAAAGCCTCACTATTCAATGTATTTATATACATACAAAAAAGTATTTGCCCTTAGGAGTTGATGGAGACCAAAACAGAGCTAAAAGGAGAGAACATCTCCACCTATATTCATCAGATGGTCAGAAACACAACTCCATATAAATGCTGATGTTGTTTTGTGTCTAAACTAGGCAGCTGTTAGCTAACATGTTTGCTATACTTTAATTAAGGTGATGCTGATGTTGTGTTTACAGCTTGTTGCTCTATTGACCAGTTACTCATGTACCATTTAAGGTTATCTTGTCAAACTACATTTTACAAGGTGATGAATGAACTCTATATTTCTTGTGTAACAGATTGCAGCTAATCAAGTGGATGCAGTGAGGAAACCATTCTCTATTCAGGTCATGCACATTCAGAAAGGTAGGGGAGGTTGTTTTGTTGCTGCTGATCCCTAGAATCAAAGTCACATGTTGGTGCTATGGCCTTACTCTTTGTTGAGTAGATGTAGACATATTAAGTGTCTGTTGGACCGTATATACAGTCTACAATGTGCTGGACACAGTATTTAATACATGTGTCCAACACGTGTCTGCATGCTAATAATAGCACTAAAACCAGGAGGCAAGTAGCTTAGCATGAAAACTTGGCCTGTGTACCTCCAGAGTTAAAAACTATCTCTATCAACACTTCAGAAATAAACATTTCATTTGTTTAATCCATACAGAACAGAAATATGAAAATATTTTTGGCAAACTGTGACCAAAGATCAGTTATTTTAGCTAATCTACTCCCAGCACTACATAATTGGCTCACAGACATAACAGTGATATTAATCTTTTCATCTAACGCTCAATAAGCACTGTCACTGATTTGTCATGTAACCCCCCCCCCCCCCCCCCCCCCAGACGGTGCCTTGCCGCTCTCTTCCACTCTCTCCTTGGCGCTGATGCTTCCTCTGTGCCTGGCTGGGGTGGCCATACTTGTGGTCTTACTGTCTGTCTTCACCAGGAGAAGGTCCAAGCTACAGATGAAGGAACTGGACATAAAACCAGGTGCAAAGATGAAGCGAATGTTTCTATGTTTATATTTCATGAAGGCTGATTTGGTAAATCATGGTAATCGTTCATTTTAAACCAAGATACAGGGATGAGGTCTGTTTTTTCCATTGCCGGGAGTGTGTGAAATGCAACCAGGTTCTTTTTTTGACATCTATTCAGATATTATCAAGCAACATCAGGAGAACGGGACTCAGGAGGAAATGGTATCATTACCTAGAACCAGGCTGACCCCGCCTCGTCTTCTGATTTGCTACAGCAGCTACGATGGCCCCGCTCATGTCAAAGCAGTCATGCAGTTAGGGGCCTTCATACAGCAGCACATGGCCACTCAGGTAATGGACATAACTTTAAGGACCATTTCTGTAACAGTTTGCCAGTGTGCTAGTGATTATGTCGTCCACAAAATTGGAGTTAAATATTCTCTTTTCTTCCGAGGTGTACCTGGACCTGTGGGACTCTCTGAGCGTGGCTGAGGAGGGCAGCATGGCCTGGCACTGCCAGAAGATCCGGGAGAGCGACTTTATCTTGGTGATCTGTTCTCAGGGCCTTAACCACAGACCTGAGTCTCCAGAGCCAGAGAGCGACGATGAGGATGTGGAGGCAAACAGGGGCTTGAACTTTGGGTCCAACACATTTAACTCTAATGCAGCCGTCCAACTTATTGGAGAGGAGGTGGGCCGAGCCAAAGCCAGAGGTCAGGACCTGTCCAAATACATGGCAGCCATTTTTGAGTACTCTGAGGAGACAGACATCCCCACCGAGCTGAGGCTGGTATCTCACTACACACTGACAAGTGACTTACCGCTGCTCTTCTCCCACCTCCATGGAGTGGCTCTGCACAGGCCTGGGGGTTACCTGAAGATAAACCACATCTCCGAGGAAGGTTTTGCCAAGTTACCAGCCGGAGCAGCTCTGCAGTGGGCTATCTATGAGGCCGGAATGGCAATGAGGGCCAAAAGATAACTGTGGAAGGGGGGGGACTAAATGCCATGAATTAATGGTAATCCTCAGCCCAGTACAGTAGAAACGTTGGCCTGAAGGTAGGTAGGGAGTTGATGATGGCAAAACACTTCCCGGTTCACTATCTGGCCAGACAGGAGAAGCTGTGATCTCACAGCTAGAGGTTGACCAGTACACCTACAATCCCTGCTGATGTGCCCTCAAGCAATCAACCAACTAACCACATCTGACTCAGCTGTGCTGCAGTGGTAGAAACTGTGCACTTTGACCTCTCAAGTATGTAAACATGCATCATACGTGTGTGTGTTCAGGAAGGATTTGTATAAAAGAACATCCAGTAATCTGTATAATGTCAGTAAAGCTAAATGTATTTGACATTTTCTGCTCATGTTATTACAGTGTCATGTAAAAAAGCCACTGTGAAATTAACCTTTGTAATATTAGCAATGTCATCATCAATCAATCATATTAATCTCAGAAATTAGTCAGTGAAGTTATTCTGTAAGAATGTTTACCATGAAGTGCACATTGAACATTGTATACATGCATGTTTACAGTCATTCTGTTTTTATTTATACATGTGAGTATCTTATATATGAATAACAATCAATCAATCACTCTATATTTTTTTAATTTTCAGCTGACGTTGGGTTACACGTGTGGATGCATGCTGTGACCTGTCTCATATTTTATGTTGTATTCCATGTCTAATAAAGTCAAGCTAAAACTCGTTTTCTAATAAAATGCATTCATAGCATTTACTGCATATGTGTTTCTTTCCGTTGATGAGTGAATGGATAATTCTTAAGACATTTTCCTGGTGCTGTAGGTTGCCAGGCTACGTGAATTCACTTGAGAATAAATGTTGTTATGTCTGTGTTAACGAGACTGTAATCTCTCAGTAATCACATCTCAATAATCTGGTCAATTCAGACAAACAGGGGAGTTTTTATTCATGAAAGCTTTTACAATAATTCTGAGATAATAATGTCGTTAACTCAGGAAAAACATTGCAAACATTTTTTTTCTCAATTAAATCATGTAATATATCCATGAAGTGAATGCACTGCGCTTCCGTATAGACGTCATCGTCGCGAGCTCATTCAGCCTCTCTCTGACAGACAGCGTGGAAAGATGGTGCTCGACTTGGACCAGTTTCGTACCGACAAAGGCGGCGATCCAGAAATCGTCCGTGAGATTCAGAGGAAGAGGTTTAAAGATGTTACTCTCGTCGATAAACTGGTCGCCGCAGATACAGAGTGGAGAAAATGTAAGCGCCGTTTCATTTCCCTTTCAGTCGTAGAAGCTAACGTTAGCGCGGTGGCTAATGATGCTAATGTTGCTGGAGCTCACGCCCAACTCCGTTCAAAATCTGGCCATTTTAATTCTTATCATTCTAATGCAGCCAGTTGTTACAACCCATCAGGGATATTAAAAGACTTGTCATATTTTTAGGACACATTCTTCTATTCGGTATATTGAAATGAAAAAAAAAAACCTTTGAAAATATATTTTTAATAATGATATGTCTTGCTGTCTGTTGTGCCACTGCAGTAGCGAAACGGTCGCTACACTGCAGTGGACTGCGACTGATTTCACCATAGAAATAGTAAATAAAGGGCTGCTTGGTGCATTATGTCCATGCCGTATTCATCAGTATTCACTCTTTTGACAGTATGTAAAAAAAAAAATACCTCGAACAAGTAGTGAATGTATTTCAATAAATAAGCAACAATTTATGGCCAGATTTGAATGGAGTTTGGTATGATGTTCTCACAACAGGAAAAGAATAGCACGAAGTGGGGCTAATGTTAGCGCAGCTAGCTCCATTCAGCAAATGCAAGTGAGCCATATGGTTGTAGTTAAGCGTAGTAACTTGGGATCCGGGTTCTAATTAAAAGATACCAAGCACTAGTTAACCACGCGTTCCCATTATCTTATTGACAGATTTGATGCTAAGTGTTGGCTAACGTAAAGGCTGAGTTAGTTTAGCGGTGCCGGGTAATAACGTGCAATCTGATGCAATCCCAGCCACCAACATGTCAAGTCAACCTCGCCCTGCAGTGTAGCTACAGACACTGTCATTCAGATCCAGCCTGATATGATTAATAAGTTTATTAGTGCATTCTTGACCCTATTTAAGTGACAATGATAGTTTGTTTACGTTTTTATCATATCATGTTTTTGAAACTATGAAGGTGAGCTGCTGCTGATAACAACCCCTGTCACCAGGGCACTAGTCCTGCTACTGCAGCTCACACACACACACACACACACTCTCATAAGGTTAGCTCAGTCCCATCATGCACTGATGACTGTGATTTACCCCCTAACAGGCCGCTTCACTGCAGACAACCTCAACAAAGCAAAGAACCTCTGCAGCAAGAGCATTGGAGAGAAAATGAAGGTACGGAAACATCATATACTCATTGACTGAAAAGGCTGTGGAGTCCGAAGTAATGAGTGAGAGAGCAGAAGTCAGTGTGTGTCCAACATAATTTTAATTTTTGAACAGTTTATTTTCATTTTTTAACACCTCTCTATGTTGTGAGTACAGAAGAAGGAACCAGTTGGGGATGATGACTCTGTACCAGAAGAAGTACAGAACCTGGAGTCCCTAACAGCTGAAACACTATCGGTATGACTGTCTGTTCTAAACACCTGTATGGCTGTATTTTTGCATAAACAGACAGAAGTTAAAGCCTATAAATCTTCTTAATTTCTTTTTTTTGCTTCTTCTTCTTCTTTGTCTTCTTTCTGTGTCAGGCCTTAACAGTAACTCAGATCAAGAAGGTGCGTTTATTGGTGGACGAGGCCGTGGAGAAATCTGACAAGGAGAGGATAAGGCTGGAGGCAGAGCGCTTTGAGTACCTGAGGGAGATCGGCAACGTTCTGCACCCATCTGTACCCATCAGCAATGATGAGGTGGGTGGTTTGAAACAGGCAGATCTGTTGATTACATGACTTGGATTTAATAATGTATGTTATGCATTGGACAGTGCCGGAGAAGGAAACCAGTGCTCATAAAACGGCACAAAACTGCAAGATTAAACTTTGCGAAAGAACATGAAAAGAGATCTGATGAATATTAGCAGCATGTTCTGTGGTCAGATGGCACCAAAATAATTTAGTTTGGCTCTTATAGGGTCCAGTATGGTTGGTGTGAACCTGGTCAGGACTACCACAGTGACTGCCGACCATGAAGCATGAGCTGTGTCTCAGTTTAGGGGGCCGTATCCTTCGAAGGCTGCGTTTTAAAACCGATTGTGTTACAGTGGGGCGACAAGGCTGTCTTATTTCAAGGGCTCCTTCAAATGCAGCCGGGAAACAAAGGATGCAAGGGGCAAAACATGGCAAAACATCTCTCCGCAGATTTGTACAAGACTGGTCCATGCTGAGGAGGATTGAATCTGTCATCGAAATTAAAGGCAGACATAGAAAATATAAAGAAATAAATAAAAGAATGTCTGACCCAAGGTTCCAGGTCAAGAGAGTTTGAGAAGCTGGAACCAGACACTCACTTTACTTGACAAATAACTAAACATTTCTCAAAGTTAATGTAAATTATTTTCTGTCAATCGACTAATTGGCTTCTTATGATCATATAATAACTGATCTTATTTCCTCTTGCTTCCTCCTGACAGGATGCTGACAACAAGGTGGAGCGTACCTGGGGCGACTGCACTGTCCAGAAGAAGTACTCCCACGTTGACCTGGTGGTCATGATTGATGGCTTTGATGGAGAGAGGGGAGCAGTCGTGGCTGGGAGCAGAGGTTACTTTTTGAAGGTGAGTTCAAATATAAGCTCTGACACATGTATGGAAACCCATGCAGTGCACCAACAAGTGAACCAGCGCTGACAAGCACAAACAGGCCATTTTTTTCCTTTTCTCCCTCCAAAATAACATTTTTTACTTGTACAGACGCACCCAAAGAACCGTGATCACCCTTTTGCTTCCTGACCCACAAATCAAGAGGCCAGCTGATCAGTTGTTTTTCCCTCTCCTGTGTTGCGTTTAGGGGCCGCTGGTGTTCCTGGAGCAGGCTCTGATCAATTACGCCTTAAGGATCCTCTACAGCAAGAAGTACACCATGCTCTACACGCCGTTCTTCATGAGGAAAGAGGTCATGCAGGAGGTCGCCCAGCTCAGCCAGTTTGATGAAGAGCTTTACAAGGTAGAGAAACTTCTGCTGCATTTGTCAACTTTTTCTGTTAAGTTGGATTTAACTTAACAAGGTGTTGTCATGGATGTGACTGGAGTTCAACCTCAGCTGTGGAGAAGGATGCTCTGTCTTGCAGAGTCCTGCATATCGCAACAATGAGCAGCGTAAGACTGAAGTGATATTATTTAAGAAGTGTGGAAATTCAACCATGTTAGTAGCATGGGTTTGGAATGAGATGTTCATGTGCTCACATACTTTTGGCCATGATTTGTAGTTGTGGCGCTGCCACCTAGAGGCCCTGACAAAGAGCTGCACTTTGTTGAGAAGCAGCAGCAGCAGCAGCAGCAGCAGCAGCAGTAGTAGTGGCACACAGTTATCAGACTCTAGACGCTCCACTGACGGCCACTGTACAAGACACTGAACATCACAATGTTGAAGCTCACTCAATGGATTTCTGTCTATCTTTCCCTTTTCTTTAAACCCTCATGTGTTTACGTCAGGTCATCGGTAAGGGCAGCGAGAAGTCAGACGACAGCTCCATAGATGAGAAGTACCTCATCGCCACCTCTGAGCAGCCAATCGCAGCCTTCCTGAGGGAAGAGTGGCTCAAACCCGAGGACCTGCCCATCCGCTACGCCGGCTTCTCCACCTGCTTCAGACAGGAAGTGGGCTCCCACGGCCGAGACACCCGCGGGATCTTCAGGGTGCACCAGTTTGAAAAGGTCACAAATTATATATTATTGTCAGTCAAATAAAGAGATAGTCACTTTTTGTTATCATCCTTTTTGGGAATCAGAATTGACTTTAAAACATTCAGATGTGTCTATGATTTTTCTTCTGGTGTATTTGTAATTTTTAAATGTGTAGATGCCTGAATTGATCCATAAACTTTCTCTCTCTCTCTCTCTCTCTCTCTCTAGATTGAGCAGTTTGTCTATGCCTCCCCACATGATGGCAAATCATGGGAGATGTTTGATGAGATGATCGGGACGGCAGAAGAGTTCTACCAGTCGCTAGGAATTCCCTATCGCATTGTCAACATTGTCTCTGGTTGGTCTGACACACTCGTATCCCTACCCCCTTATGTATGCAGCTGTTGGAAAATATCTAATAAACAGAATGATCTGACTTGTCTTTTCCAGTCAAATAGTAACGCAAACTTTGAACTTTAACTTGAAAGTGAAGAATTACTCTAAAAATACAAAGCTTTTTAATGCTTTGTTTGTGTTGCTGCCACCTTCCAAGAACGGTTGAGATTAGGCAAAATAGATGGATAACATTAACAAGTGACTTTGTGGTTTGAAATGTTATTTTTGCATTCAACAAGATAACAGCAGAGTGAAGCTTCAGGTGAACACTCTACAAGCTGACAAACAAGTTGCCATCTTAAGTCCCTCATTGGTGCAGTTGGTACATTAAGAGCTTGCTCCATGAGAAGACATGAACTCAGCTAACTGCTTACGTCTGAATGTCATCGCAGGTGCCCTGAATCATGCAGCCAGTAAGAAGCTGGATCTGGAGGCCTGGTTCCCCGGCTCAGCTGCTTTCAGAGAGCTGGTCTCCTGCTCAAACTGCACTGACTACCAGGCCAGGCGCCTCCGCATCCGCTACGGACAGACCAAAAAAATGATGGACAAGGTGAGTGCTCGCTTCCAACGCAGCTGTGCATCTCAGCAGGGGCGTTAATGTAGCCAGGCCTCACAAGATGCTGATGCAACCTCAGCTGTTGTCAGGAAGTGAGTGGAGTTCCAGCCAGTGAACTGAGATGTGGGTTCTTTTCCTCCACAAAGGAATTTTTTTACTCTGTATTTTAAAAAGTGGCTTTATTAACTTCCTCTTAACTAACCTCTTTCTCTGTTAATGTTAATGTAGGCGGAGTTTGTGCACATGTTGAACGCCACCATGTGCGCCAGCACACGTGTGATGTGCGCCATCCTGGAGAATTACCAAACCGAAGAAGGCATCATTGTTCCAGAGAAGCTCAGGGATTTCATGCCTCCTGGTAAGATGCTGGAGTGGTTTCACATCTGTTCGTTCAGAAAGATCACACATAGCTGACAGGAAGCATTTTGGTCAGAGAAGAAATACCAAGTGAATAATTAGGAGAAAGGGAATTTTAGTCCAAGGTGAGTTTATGCTCCTAATATAGGATGATAATGTATACTGTTCAAGCACAATGTAAAAAACTAATAAGTAATACAAGGTCACTTATTAGCTTTTTTGCCAGAGTAAGATGAGAGGATTGATACCACATTTATGTCTGTGCAATGACTATGAAGCTTTAGCCAGCAGCCAGTTAGCTTAGCACAAAGACTGGAAGCAGAGGAAAACGAGCCTGATTATCACTGAATTGTAACTCTGAATTGTGCAAATTAACACTTTTGTTTAATCTGTTTGAAAACTGAAATGTAAAAACAACAATTTGAGTTTTAAATGTGATTATTGTTGTTTTGACAGAGCCGGGCTACTTGTTTCCCCCTGCCTCCAGTCTTTATGCTAAGCTAAGCTAATTGTCTCTTGGCTCTAAATTCATATTTAGTGTACAGACATGAGGATGGTGTTGATCTTTTCATCTAACTCTTGGCAAGGAAATGATTTGCTTCTCTTGGCAGTAGAAGTATATTTTCTTTGACTGTTTGTGGAGGTTTTCGCAGCCTCACTATTACACACACAAATGTAGGTTACCCATGGAAGACCTATGTTGTTTTTTTTGTTTAGAGGCTTGAATGTATTTTTCCCTCCTCCAGGTTTGACAGAGATCATTAAGTTCGTCAAGCCCGCTCCTATTGATCAGGAGATGTCTAAAAAAGCAAAGAAACAGCAGGATGGAGGGAAGAAGAAGAAGCAGGGGGGAGACCAGCTGCCTAATGCCATGGAGACCATGTCCGTCAACGACTCATAGACTCCGGCACACGAGGACGGTGTTGCTTCACCAACCTCATAGATAGAAACAGATGGACTAGAGCCTTGTGTAATGATCTGGAGTCATTTTGTGGTTTCTCCCAAACATATATGGTGAAGGTGAGAAATAAAGGCACCTAATGTTATCCTTATGTTATAGTGAAGGCCTGGCTCTATCCCATCTGTGTCTGTCTAAGAGGATGGTGTTATTCATCTCAGCTGTTCCTCCCCTCATTTCCATAAAGCAGACTAAAAAAGGGATCGCTCTGTGCTCTAACCATCCACAGTCCACTTCAGAGTCCACTGACCACCTGTCTGTCTGTCTGTCTGTCACTTTCTCATCTCTGCAGCAACACTGAGCCTAAAATGAACAGATAAGACTACTTGAGCTGTCTGAATCACGAGTCATGTTTTCAGATTCAGCAGCGACATTTCTCGCTTAACATCCTACGACACTTAGTAGTTTCTGTGACTGCTGTGTAGCACAGATGAACCACTGGTTGCGTACAGGTACATGTTTGCGCCCAGCTGTTATTACCATTGGAAAAAGTGTGGTTTCCAAATGTTTGGTAGTTTCTACAACTGATCACTTACTGTGTGGAATTGATATCAAAACCCGTATCTCTTCTGTGATTACTTCATGTCTGAAACGGCTTTAAAGTGAAATGTAAAAACCTTCCTTGTGAAAAAGGATCAGGTATTTTAACTGTCTGTTTTAGGCTTCACTTCATGTTGTCTCTGACTACAATCATCATTTTCCACTGTTGTTGCTTGATGTCATTGTTGACCCATAATGCTGTTCTCTAGCTTATGACTGAGACATTGACATTGTATTTACTTGCTAATATAAAGATATATATATGATTGAGCATCGATGAAGTGGCACTCACTGTAAACAAATAAATACAGTTGATGTGGAAGTGTTTTTCTGTGTGTGTGGTTTTTTGATGAGTCTACATTCCTTTTAAAGTTTTAAAACTGATGTATATATAAATTCACACACTATAACTTAAAGGTCTCATATTGTATAAAATTAGATTTCCATGTCTCTCCTGAGCCTCTCCTCTGATTGGCTCACCTACCTGTTTTTGCTAGAGCTCCAGAGAGAAGCCTGAAGGAGGGGAAGTAAAACTACATTAAGATGGTTTTTGGTGCTTAAATCCACAAATATATCTTCTTATGGATCAACACTTCAAATAAAACATTAGCAAATAGTAAAATATGGGAACTTTAAAATTTGTGCACAAAGAAAGAACACTAAAATAAACAGGGCTGTTTAAACCATTCTAACATAATTGTTTCTCAAAGCATCTGGCAAGATATAACAGCTTAACCTGCTGTGATGGTCTTACCTTGGTCAAGCAACAAATGCCGTCTACAGGTGAGTCCCTTGATGGGCCATCAAAATCTATCCATGAAACTTCCAGGCAGCCTGAAAATCTGATAAAAGGCAATAAGGAAGACATGAGGTTACTTATTAACTCCAATAGACTTTACACCCATCCATTTGTAGTACAGTAAGAAGCCAGCTCACTCCGCTCATAGTATATTTACAAAAAGGTGAGTTTAACTTCAGTATATTTTGTCATTACTGAGCTGATGTTAGTTTTAATCGGCTTAATGTTTCTGTGAACAGCAGGTATCGAGCCGGGCCTGTCGAGATGAGTGACACTTCAGAGGATGACAATGAGATCACCTTTCAGGTTAAGGTAAATACTGATAATTCATAGTTAAAAATCTGATGGTGGACAATAAGGTGAAAGGTGAGAAACTTTTGATTAGTTATGAGAGTTGAACTATATTGTCTATTTTGTGTCAAGTGGCTCCGGTTGTTAAGGGCTAATATTGTGCCAATGCAAATCAAATTTACATATTAACACATACTGAATGTACAGCATTTCATTTTGCATCAAACCATTTTTATTTTTGCTTCTTCTGTGTTTCTCTCTAAACTAGTTCCTTGGGCGAGTTGAAGTAGTTCGCCCTGACGGACTACAGATCCTGGATGAAGCAGCTCAGCGCCTGAAGGTCAGTACTGTGCCTTTAACATCCTGTTATAGCTGATGTTTTTTTTTAAAAATACATTTAAAACTGTCTTTTCCTGTGTATCATTTTTAGCCATGCTAGTAGCATTGCTCTATGGGACTGCAATGGAATTGCAAAATATTCATTGGTCCCTGCAGGATGAATCCTAATGACTCTGGCGATTCCCAGACTTTTGAACCATAAAGTTGACGTTTTTGTTTTTTGTAAATGTCTCAACAACTATTGGATGGATTCCTATGACATTTGGCAGAGACATTCATGGTGCCCAGACGATGAACCTTAATGATTAATGGTGATCACCCCTTTTTTTTTTTGTTGTTTTTACTGTAGCTCCAATGACTGAATACAGTCACTGTGTAGCACCATAAGGTTCACATCTGTGCTTTTTGGGACTGCTCCTACAGTACATCTACTATGGATGATTCATGGCACTTGATTTGAAGATTGATTGTTTTTATGAATTCCACATATTGTCTACAGAGATGTAGGGATATGTAATCCATCACCTCTCTTTCCCCCTCATCCCTAGACACCTGATAAATATGTTCCAGAAAAGACAGCCAAGAAGAGCAAAGTTGACCTCTTCCTGTCTCTAAGTGGGATAGACATTTTGGAAAACAAAACCAAGGTGTGTGACAAAAGTGTACAAACCAGTCCAAGGATGCTTACAATTGAGTTGCACATCTTGCTTTCTTTGGCCTTGAATCATCACTTTACATCTTCATATTATCTTTCCCATCCTCAGTTCTTGTTGTACACATGCCCTCTCTCCACTGTCTCCTTCTGTGCCCTGCTACCATCCTCAACCAAAGTCTTTGGCTTCGTAGCCAGACACCCTGCAGCCGACATGTACCACTGCTATCTCTTCCAGAGCAAGAAATTTGTGAGTATTCCCAGCACAGCACAACAGATGCTATGCATTCTCTGCAGGAATAATTTGATGATTTATTGTTTTATTTGAGTAGACAAGGTGGCCGCTAATATTACCACTGGAAAACAGTATGATAAATGAGAAATTCAGGCTTTCAAAGGCTCAGGCATGAATTTCTAAAACATTTTTTTTCAGTCTCATGTGCTGGTCTCGATTATCGGTGATGCTTTCCGAGCATCGAAAAAGGAGGAGAGCATCAGGGGAGGACGAGACCTTATAGTGGAGGCTCTCAGACATAAGGTTAGTTCCACTTATTGTTCAGTAATATTGGGGCTAGGGTAATTCTTCAGTTCAAGCCATTTCACATTATTTTGTTATGGCAAGGAAGTGATTCAAGTTTGTTCTAAGTAGTTGTTCAGTTGTTATGACCCTGGCTCATTTGGCCACAACAAAAGGGAGACACACCTTGGTTATGATTAATAGAAAATTAATGATTATAGGAATATTCTTATTAAACCAAATTAAGATGCCAAATTAAATGTATTTGGTGTGGAAATCAGTAAAATCAGTAGTGTGTGGTATGAATGAGTGAGGTATATGAGTGCAGGTGTTGTAAGGTGCAGAACAAAACATAAGGATTAAAGGATTAAACATAACCAAACCCAAAGCGTGGTGTGCCTGTGGAGAGGAGCAAAGAGAGATTAGTTGGCAGCCAGGACCTATATACCCTGGAACACATGCCACAGGTGTTCCAGATGTACCAATCAGCTGCAGACAAAGAGACAGACTAGCAAAAGGATCAGGGGGTCATCACACAGTCTATCTTAATGGCTGAAGTTAGAGGGAAACAAAACCAGCTCGTACCAAATTAAATACCTGTCATATTCAGTGCTGCATATTTACAGCTGTCCCCTCTTTCTCATTCTTCTCCAGAATAAAATGCTGCAGAGGGAGAATTCAGAGCTGAAGAGGAGGCTCGAAGGACAAACTGACTAACAATAACTGTGCATGTTGTTGCATTTGTACACAGAAGCTTTAAGAAAATGGTGGAACACAGAAAAGGGAAAATGTGGAAGGAAGGTGTAAATTAAAACTAGCGTTGATTTAAAAAAAAAAAAAAAAGTAAAAGAATTTCTTAATGTTTTGTTGCTTTTCTAAAATATTTACTGCTATACTGTATATTTACTGGATCCACTGTAATTGTGTTATCTGCACCCACAACACTAGAGGGCAGCAACAAGCTCCTCAGCTAACCACCCACCAGGCTGCTGCGTCAAATCCTGCCTTCATAATATCGGAAAAAGTGTGTGCATTTGTTGTGTGTACACAAAGAACCAAATAAATTCAGGGAACATGAAAATTGACAAAAAATTGACGAATTGCCGTGTGACTGTAACTGAGGCCTGACTCAGAAGAACTGAGAATGCATATAATGTTAGCGACTGTTGGCAGCATAATTGTTTGCAACTGTACAACACCTGGATAATAAATAGAACCTGCGTGATTGGTTTTATCTGTGTTTTGTTTGTTTGACTTCTAAAAAACGCTACAATTATGCACTTTAAGTTGATTTAAGCACTTGAAACTACATAAAACTGCACATGAATCACTTGAAAGCCAAGTCAAGTTGAAAAATTGGATCTCGGAGAGGCAGCGATACGCAGGTTACGTGAATGCAGCACAACAGGGACGTAAACTTCTGGTGTGACAGACGTTAGGAAGCAAGCGCGAGCGCCGGTGTAAATACTGCTTTGTGATGTCAACGTCGGCTTGTGTAGTCTAAAAGGTAAGTAAAAGTAAAGTCTGTGTACTGAAACTAACTAACGTTACAGACTGCCACAGCCAGTGCTAGCTAACGGCTAATTTGTAGAACACTTGTTAGCAAACTAGCCAGCGTTAGCTTAGAGAGTCGAGCCTTAACAACGCGGAATTCCTCCGCCTTACAATTGAACTGATTTGTTAGAGAGTCTGTGTGTGTCAGCTAATTTAATGTGAGATAGTCACATTGTATTGGCGGACACAGGGTCATACACCACAGCTGCCCTATTGCTCCTGAGTCAGTTTGCTCACACTTTTGTGGCTGATTGGGTCGATCTCACCCACCTGCAGACGGGCGGTAGTCTGGAAGCTCTGGCTCTGCGTCCGCCATGGGGACGCGGTGGTCTCGAAGCGGCAGCAGCCTGTCGCTTCTACCGGAGAGGCAGTGCTCTGGGAAACGGGGAGAGGACAAGGACTCCGATAACGACTCTTTGGATGGGCTCGGTAGACGGGAGGATATAGCCCAGTTCCCGTACGTGGAGTTCACCGGGAGGGACAGCATAACGTGTCCGACATGTCAAGGCACTGGGCGGATACCTTCAGGTGAGTGGAAACAATTAAATATCAACGAGCTGCAGCAGAGATGAAATTTTAGTGTAAAACAATACTTTAACCACACGGAAAGTAGAGCTGGGGCCTGGATAAAGTTTGTTATATTGTCTTAGACCATGGCTGTAAGTTAAAGCATATTTAAATATAAAATTTAAGACTTCAATGTTGCACTGGGGTGGTGTTTCATTCAGACTGACTGCTGTTTAAAAGCCTTTAACAATAACTTGATGAAACAACCTAGGAGAAACAAACCTTTTCTAATACTATAGTATTGCGTGTGTTGTATTTTAATTTAAGGAAAAGACTGTCATGCAGTTTTAGAGGCTTATTGTCTTCCCCCCAAAACACTGTGTATTGTAAGAGGAAGACCTAATCATTATGTTATGTACATGTTATCTCTTTCCTGATAGGTCAAGTGAATGAACTGGTTGCATTGATCCCATATAGTGACCAAAGACTGCAGCCCCAAAGAACGTAAGTAACCAAAATGTACTAATACAGTGTCAAGAAAGAGGAAGAGAATGCTTTGCAATATAAATAAACTCGTAAAATGTGGTCAGATCTTCATCTAAGTTACATTTTGAACTAACACCATTTATTTTAACAAATAATGCACAAACCCAGTGCCAGTTGGAATTTAAGGTAAACACAAGAAACTTGTGCTTGTGTCTTTAACTTCACTGCGTACTGATCAGCAGCTACTGGAAGAGCTTGTTTGAGGTTATTGCTGCCAAGGGAGGATCGACCAGTTATTAAATCCAAGGGTTCACTTGGTTTATCCACCAGCACTGTGAATGTTTAATGGTTGTGTTCCATAAAGACACAAACGATTATAGTTATACTTGTCGTGTGACTTGAATCTGACCTGATGAAGATCAGATCAGCTTTCATGGCCAGTCCATGTGTAAAACTAGGTCATTGCAAAGGCTTCACGTACTTTTTCTTGCCACTGTATCTGGCTTTCTTGGTGCTGAAAAGACAGGATTTCTCTGCTCACTAAACATTTATTTCTGTCAAGTGGAATTCAAAACGTTGTTTGAATAGATTCAAGCGTGTCTAAGCTTTGTTGTGTTAGTTGGGTGCACAACACTTTAAAGACATTACATCTACATGTTCTTTATTCCAGCAAGCTGTATGTGGTCTTGTCAGTTGTGCTGTGCCTCCTGGCCTCTTTGCTCGCTGCCTTCTTCCTCTTCCCTCGCTCGGTGGTCGTGGTGGATGATGGGATACGCACGGTGACTGTTCGCTTTGACCACTCCAATATGAAGGTCCTGATGAACATGACGGTAGGTTTTCATACAGTCGCCTGAATTAAAGACCGCTCTCTAAAATTTTGATTTGTGTGGGATAATCAGTTAATCATTTCAGTCATATTTCAAGCTAAAATGCCAAAACAAACTCTAGTGCCAGATTTGCAAATGTGAGGATTTGATGCTTTTTTTGTCACCTGTGACAGTAAAATCAATACTGTTTGGTTTTGGACTGTTGTTTGGAGCAATTTCAGTATGTCACCTTGGAGTCTGGGAAATCATATAAGGCATTTTTCACTATATTCTGACAGATACGTTATTTGACCGATCAATCAATTGATTAATCTAGAAAATAATCAGCAGATTAATTTGAAATTGAACACGAAATAGTTAGTGACAACCCAAATACAAATGCAGTCATCATTATTATAATTTATTGCTGTTTTAGCTGCTATATTTTCTTCCCTGTCACCACCTCTCTATGCGCTAATGATGTAATTGTCAAGTTTGAGGCTAGGACTGATGAAATGACAGCTTTATAAATGTTTGAGAATATGAAATGTGTTTCTGAGATATGGAACCAGGGGAGAACCAGTGTGAGGAAAGTCTCAATCGAGCTCTTTTCTCTGTGTGAGCGTCAAGTGTGCCAGAGCTTTTTATTCAACACTGAGGATTTGTAGCCACTTGTTTGTACAGTTGTTTCGTGTTGAAGTTTTCGAGACTTCCTGTTTGTGCAGAGAAGATATTATCAGTCTCTACTCCTGACACCAGAGCTGAATTTAAACAAATATGGCAGGTGTGTATTTACAGAAACATGTTGAGTAATAGTTTTTGTCTTTTCTTTCACTGTGTTTTTCTCAGAGCACACTGAACATCAGCAACCCAAACTTTTTCTCCATGATGGTTGAGAGTGTGAACTGCCAGGTCCTTTACATGAACACAGTCATTGGAAATCAGCAGCTGGACAACGCCACCACCATCCTGCCTCTCAGTGAGCGTCAGGTACAGAAAACAGACATTCAAAATGCACACACTCACTTCAGAGAATCATACAAGAGGTTTTATATATTTCAAAATAAAGCATTTGTCTTCTTTCTTAGTAAATACTTATTCATGATAAACATTCTCACCAGTGATGTCAGAGCTTCCTGGTACAGAGTTCAGTATGCAAACAAAACTATTATCTGTAAACAGTGCTGTAGGTGTTGCTGCTACAGGATGTCGACTCCTGCTAAAAGTTAAATATGTGAAGACATTAGTGCTAGAGCTAAACACACTGTCACCGACTTACAACCAGAAACTTAAAGCATGAGTCTGGTGATGTTCTGTAATCCTCTTACTGTCAGCAAATCCCATGAAAAGACTAAAACCAGCCATAATGATTTATCCTAACAAGTGTTGTGCGTGTGTGTCCGAAGTTTGAAATAGTGTCTTATTCCTCTGGGCCATTGTTACATTCTGGAGCCATTTTAAAGACGTGCAGAAAGCTGGACATATTGTAGAATGATGCATCTTAGTTTTACTGGTTGTATGAACTTTGCTCACCAAAACAACAGCAAGAAAGAAAATCTTGTGAGTGTTGCAGGTCAGTAGTGCAACCCTGGAATTTATTGACACACATGTGCAGTGCATTGTCTTGAGGATAATTCAAGAGTTAGCCATTTATACATTATCTCATTCCAGTGTCTCCCTGCTGATAGGATATCTGTCCGTCATTCAGTTACTCCCTCTTCCACTCTAGATAACAACACATTGTTTGTAACTTCTGATCTTCTGCAGGTGAACTACACTGTCAGTGTGGAGATTGGAAGCAGTGCACCCTATGTCTAGTAAGTGTTGATTCTATACCTAAACAGCTGTTCGGTGTCATGTAGAAACACTGAATCTTACACTGACGTAAAGGGATCCTCTGGTGATTTCGTAGACTAGTAATAGTAGATATCCTGACTGTCCCCAGTATGCTCCAGAAACACCAAATCCTACATTTCCCATAGTGCAACTTGATAGCATCTTCAGTTAGACCCTTCCTATCTAAATGCTGACATCATTTCAACTCCTCACCTCTGGTTTCAACACAGGCTTTCTAACATTATACATCATAAGACTTTATACAACTGTTTTCATAGACTGAGGAGTAAAATGTGTGTTTTGTAAAATTTTCTGCGTTGGCAATTAAGCTGCGTTACACAGAGAGAAAATGAGTGGACTGATGCTTTCACAGGACACTGGCTGGTACATATTTGCTGAATCGTTGGTTTACACGCCTACCCAGAAGTCAACAGCACAGTTAAACAATCTAAACATTTTCTGCTTTTCAGTGCCTTCTGCACCATGCCCAGCATCAAGGTCCACAACATTGTCATATTTGTGCAGTAAGTAACTCTTTACCTTCATTCCGCTTTTATCACTTATTTCTATTGTTCTTGTTCCCTGCTGTTATGTTTTTACTCTCATCATCACAGGGTTGGAAGAAGGTTTAACATCCTTTATTTAAGGAACGGTTCTGATACAACAGTGTAAAAATACTGTGTTCCAAATCTTACTCAAGTAAAAGTCCAGATGTTCTAGCAGCAAAATACTGTAGACGTTAAGCAGCAGAAGTACTTGTTGTGCATTGTGCTTTCCCTGTTTTTTATATATACGTATATAGTATTGGATTATGAACAACATTTTTGATGCAGCTGTTTTACAATCTTTTTTTTCTTTTCCAATATAATCTTATAAATCCTCAGTCTTACAAAGACCATTCTGTCCTAAGAAGCTTTATCCACTAAGAAAACTTAGAAACAGTTTTTAAATCAACTTGTTTAGAAAAGTGTGTGTATCTCAAAGAATACAGCAGGTTGATTTTATTGATTTGCAATGAAAATGGGTTTAAATATTCCTACTCTACTTTTGTTTTCACTGAAAAAAATTCCCATTTTAGAGGTTGATAATGTTTTGAATGAAAAACAAATATGCAAAATATAAATATGCAAAGTAATTACAGCTGACAAATGTAGTGGAGTAAAAGAATATAATATTTCCGTCTGAAATGATGTGGAGTGGAAGTAGAAATACTCATCTTAAGTACAAGTACTTCAAAACTGCATTGTGCCCTGTGTGAGTGAATATGCTTTCCACTCTTGCATAATATAATGCATAATAACTTTTTTCTCCCAGCCGACAGTAAAGAGGTAGTTCTGCTGCGTGTCAGGCTAGGTAACACTGACAGCAGTGTGACCACATAAACCACTTCCTCTGCATTACAGCACGTGTTATTCTTATCATTACTTGCTATAATTCATGCTTTGAAGTTTAGACAAAACAATAATTTCATACACTGGAAATGCCTGGAGCCTTTTTATCTGCTGGTGCAATTTTCACCCTGCTAATTATTCAGAGACCCAGTCTTGAGCTCATGTCTGTGGTCACATCTTGCATTTTGTCTGTAGCTAATTTATCGTGACAGGCAGCCTCGTGTGCAGCAGCGTGGGTTTTTATTTCTCTGTCTGCTCCCCTGTTTTCAGGACGTCAGTGAAAACCTCGTACATGGTGCGAACATCCCAGAACAGCCTCGAGGCCTATCGCTACATAGACTGCGGCTCCAACACCACATACCACCAGACGGCCCAGCTTCTCAGGCACCTCTCCTCCACCCACTCACCAGCCACATCGCTCAGCGCCCCTCTGCTGTGAGCGGAACAGTCCTGGACGACCTGGATCATTTCTCTGGAGGAGGTGGGAGATGTTCGTGTAAACTGGAGAGTGGATTTTGCTGGCAACAGAAAAGCCAAATGGTGCTATCTATCTTCTAAGCACAAACAACAGGTACCATTATGTTGCTGTTAACTCGTGCCACTGAATGATGAAGCTGTTTCCTGGAAAACATGGGCATGCAGAGGCGATGTTGTCAGAGAGTTATTTCTGACTGCACATTTGTTTTCATGGGACAGCCCAGAGGCAGCAGATGAGTGGCTTTGTTGCGGTGGTTGTTAGGCATCACCAAGTGAAAACACAGCTCCATGACCTTTTTACTGCAGGGTCAGATTGCTTTAATATATCTGTCTTTTTTGGGATTGGATATTTCCTGCCTCAGCAGCCGCATTTGATTTATAGTTGTCTCATTGAGGCTTTTGATATCCTGAACGCATCATGTGTAAAATACAAGTTTAAAAAGGCAGTTTTTGCTATTTCATCATGCTGACAGAATGAGTCACATGTTCTCCTGACTCATTGCCAATGAGCACTCTGTAGCCCTGTTTTGGAAACAGGACAAATGTCAGAGAAAGCTCTTTTCTATAAAAGGAAGTGGTCAACATTCCCAGCTGACAAAGAAGTGCCGGGGAGCGGCACTTCTGCCAAAGCTTTAATTAACACTGCAGAGCTCTGCCTGTGTCTGCTGCTTCATCAGGAGAGCCTCCTTCAGCGTAGCTTGAATGACTTTTGGCACCGTAACACTGTGTTCACCGAGGGCTGCTGACTTTTCTTTAAAAAAAGAAGATAAGGAGCTGGTCTGCTGTTTCTAGTGTAGCTCTAATGCGAGGGATCATTTAATGACTGTTAAACTGGGATGTATTGTTGTAACATATTGTTTTGCTGTGTTATTTAACTGTTTCTTAAGTTTAAAATGGAATTTACACATTTAATATATCATGTGTGTTTTTAAATGAAATGATAAGTTATTTCTAGGTATCCATCATCCCAGCAAGTCTAAGCACACAGGTTTTAGATTCAGGGTTTAGTGTCATAGAGAGGAAACTGTTTTCAGCCTAGATTTAATTTAACACATCAGTCAAGCTCATGTGATGATGTGACATAATCTCTGAACCTGTAATCACTCATTAATGTCTTAGTTAAAGTTCTTGATCATTTCCACTCCTGGTTCAGCTTCAGAAAGAGGAATTTGGGCCTTAAAATAAAACATCCAGTATGAGCTTTTGAACATCTGTATACAGTTTCCTCTCCATCATGGCATTAACAATGCTGGTGTGCAACAGTAAACAGCATATAATCATGGCTGAAAGCTCTATTGTCACGTATACTAACAGTGGGTCTGTCTGACTGATGATAACAGATTTACACTGTTTACATGTGTGTGTTTTGCTCAGCTCCTCTGCTGTTTATCCAACTCCAAATGTCTCTGCAGAGTATTTCAGACCAATAAGTCCATTACCTGAGACCGACTTAAACTTTACATGATCACGTATTCTCAGTATCTGAAGGGAAGTTGATGTTAACAGAATGTGGAAACAGAAACAGAATGACTAAAAGCAATTTTGATATGACTGTTTTGTTTTTCTTTCTTTTTTTTTTAAAGGGACAGTTTTTTTTGTAAATTTCTGAATGAAAGATTTTACCAGCATTTTAAAAAATACAGTGTAAATATTTTTGCCTAGTTCTAAAAAAGACATTAAAGGGAATTGTGAACAAATAAAATGAATAATGAACACCAGTACTTTTTTTGTTGATCATTTCTGTCATTTTGCAAGCAAACATGTCCAAACCTGTCCAGGTTCCTGCTTCTAACATGTGAGGATTGATGCTTGTCTCTGTCTCTGCCTCTCATCAATAATGAAAATAACTCAAAAAAATAACAAAATAACCACACAGCACTTCAGGTACCACATCATTTCAATTTAATTGTATTCTTCATTTGTTTTTGCATACAAAATAGCATATTATTCTTTTGAAAAAAAACCCCAAATGTTTCCTTTTTATGTCTCATACACTGTCCTATAGCTGCATGTGAAAATATATTACTACATAATATAGAGATCAACAAGAAAACAGACCACAATATATTATCGCTGTAATACAAGTAGTGTTTTTCTAAGTTTTTACCAAACGAGGCAACACACTAAATAAATGCATAGTAAAAATACAAGAAGCAATAAGTACAAAAATATAGCTGGATAAAAAGCTTATTAATACAAGAGTGCTTTGTCTTTGGTTAAGTACATCTGTCTTTAGGCCACTGTCCTGCTGATGTGTGCTAACCTGTCTTCTCTTTGAAAACATACAGTATGTGTGAAAACGTCTGACACAATGGATGTAGTCAGAAGGTGTGAGGCAGTGAATGAACACCAAACATGTGACGGCAGTGGTGTGATTGAACACTACGTCCCTCCTCCATCTAGCTTTTTCCCCATTTCACATACATTTCTTTTAAAAGTGGATGTAACATTACCTTTACCCATCATATTTACTTAAATACCCTCAACACACACACACACATACACACACACACACATACGCGCGCACGCCACTCCCTCGCACACACTCTGGTTAAAAGTTAAAACCTCACATTCGTGTTTACTTTCATTAGAGAGTTATGTCTCTCACTCGCTCTGAATATTAAGTGTATGTGAGTGAAAAAAACAACGATTGTCAACTGTGATTTACACTGGTGAAGGTGATGTGTTGTGGAGGGGATGAAGGCAAGAGTGGCTGTAAATATGCTGTACATACATCTGAATACCTGAACATCTCTAAATATAGAAACTAAATTACATCATCAGGGCTTTGGTCACTTTTTTTTAAACAAAGAAAAAAAAAATAAAATAAAGAATTTTGTAACAATACAAAATATAAACACCTGCTGTTTTTTAAGGTCGAAATGTTGGACCTTACAGCGCCATTGTTGCCCTCAACACGACTCCACGGCTCCACACAGTCTGCTCTGTGTCCTTAAAGCTGCTTTTACCTCTTCTATCATTGTTCGACTGAACAGCAGCCGGAGTAACATGATAAAAGCTGCATTTAACTATCATTTACCAGGGGCCGGTAGCATGACGTTCAGCTTTGCCTGGCTCCCTCCTGACGTCAGGGATCCTGGGTATCATGAAGCTGGTTGTCAACCGGCTCAGTTAACTATTGGTTTACCTTTTTAGCTCTGAGCATGTTAATGTGAACATACAAGCCAATAACATCCAACATAATTAGAGTCAAAGTTCATGTGGCATAAGATGAAATGATGGTACCAATGTGGGCTCTAGTGGCAGCAAACTGATATTCCACCACTTAAAGATAAAATATATTCACAGGACTAGAACAGAATGAGAAGCTGTTACAGGCCTGTTAATTATGGCTGGCATTTCCAAAATAATCTGCATGGTAAATAAACTGATAATCCTACTACAGAAAACCGAAAACAGTCAGATCATCCTTCTAAAAAAACATCCTGAAGAAGACAAATAAACATCTGACTGCAGATTCTTATAATTCACTGAGCTAATTAACAGTGTTTGCAATTTCTATGCAGCTACAATTCCCATTTGTTCGTCTGTTTAAAAACATGTTGATTCTGAACTGAAGTTCTGAACTTACACTGAGCGTCTTGATGCTTATTCATAATGGAAGAAGCAGCATGAATCTATGCAGCATGGTGACATACTCCTGGTGAGCCAGCTTCATGATACCAGAGAGTTAAAGCCAAAGATAGTTGGTTAACCCACTAATCTTTCCTCATGCTACAGATCCCTGTTAGATGCACAAGTTTCCTCTGAAGCCTCCTCATCCTTGGAGGAGTTGTAACACTTTGTAACACGGCTTTGTTTGAACACTGTGTTTATTATTTTTGCATCCAACAATACTTTACTATATAAGAAAACTGAAATGTGCTGTTACAGTATATATATATATATTTTCAGAAAGGTGGGGGTTGTTTAGGAGCAGACGGTGTGGCACATTAACAGATGAAAAACCATCTGTAGGGATCATGGACTCAGATTTTCAGTCGCCCTCTGAATGTATTTACACCCAACAATAAGAAAATCTGAGTCACATCATCAACTGAAGGACAAAGAAAACTTAAAGAACTTAGAGAACACAAGCAGTGGCACTGGGCCGTCACTGTGCAGTAAATGCCTCGTCAATACTCATGTGCTGCGTGTCACCGCTTGTGTGCTCCGAGCTCCGTTTCCTTTCTTTGTCTATCGGCGCTGCGACAACATGACCTTGTTGACGAAGTTGACGATGGCAGAGGCGGGTTGTTCGGGGTCCAGCTCTGCGAACATGTGGCAAACGTTCTCCGCCAAGCTGCCGGGCTTCTTGGCTACAAAACCGAACACCCTGAGAGGGGAAAGAGGATTCGAGAGATTTGAGTTACTGAGCATGACAGGAAGTGACAGGCAGGTTGAGTTTGTCTGGTGAGGTAGGTGAGAGTGTCTCTTTATAACAGCCTACAGGGTTAGCCACAATGAAGGAATTAGTGTTATGTAATATGGCGTCATGTAGGACTTGGTTTTCATTATTAAATCATATTTGCTGGGATGATTTTGCCAAAGCTCACACGCAGTCTGATGCCATGCAAAGGCTTCAACATCAACAGTTTCTCAGGCACAGGTGAACCTACACACCCAAAACAAAACACACACATGCATACACTCACTTTCTCTGAGTCACCAAACACAAACAGAGCACTTACTTAATAGTGGTGTTGTCTGAGTTAGTCCACCTACAGCCGAGAGAGAGAGAGAGAAAGAGAGAGAGAGAGAGAGAGAGAGAGAGAGAGAGAGAGAAACCGGACTCAGACATCCACACACAGGCAGAGCTGCCAAACAAGCTGATGCAGCTGCAGCCGCGGCCGCAGCCAGCGTGCTCGCAAAACACAATGACCCGCCTCTCATGCAGGCTCACACACATTCACAGGCAAACAAATGTACTCACAAAACAGACAGATACCGATCCATGCCAGGGCTCACAGCAACAAATGCAGTGAATGATCATGGGTGCAGTGAATGATTGATTGTGGTGATGTGTCTAATGATTATTTTTTGCTGATTTTAGGTTAGTTAGAATCAAGTAAGATCTATCTAGTTCTTTTAATTTCTCACCTCCTGTCTTTCGGGTCGATGCTGCTGAAGGTTACGCTGTTCACTGGGTAATGTCTCCTGAAGAAAACCCTAGAAAAAGGAAGATACAATATATGTAGAGTATAACATAACATTGCTTTTAAGAGCTAAATCATAACATCATCACTGATGACTTTAATCTTAAGTACCCAGTGTGCCTGGAAGAAGAAACTTAAGTAACGTAAGAATACGATCATATTAAGAGCAAATTGTTTGTATTGAAGATAAAAGTTGTAAATAGTAAAATAAATAACGTCACTTTATTTTTTAAGTATTAATCCATGTGGAAGTTTCTTACCTGCGCTGGCTGTCGGTGAGCGTGATGCCCTGCGACGTCACTTTGAACTGTACGACAGTGGCAGCAGGACGCGGGTTACGACCCAAGGTGGCGTCTGTTGCCTTGGCGATGGCCTGGGGGCCGGTCAGAGACTCTGTTTCCACGGAGTTCAGGTAGAGGACGTTACAGGCTGAAAGAAGAGAGAGGTGAACACACTGACCGATGAGATTCTGCCAGCATTCTGCCCGCTGCACATGAACGGTGTCAAGTTCATGATATTTTGATATTTAACATGGACGTGCAGTGTAGGCTGAGTATCCTTTTATTAGGTTTTGTTCCTCCTTGTCAGATAGCCCTCAACTGATACTACAGCAGTCACTTTGAGAAATTACAGCTGCACCCGAGTGTTGTGACGTATATGTGAAAGACATCAGTGTGTGCAGGGAGAAAGGAGGCGGGATGGAGAACTCACCTGCTCCTTGTTTAAGCAGGTCGGCAGCTGTGCTGATGTTGCTCACTGGCTGAACCTCCTGAACGTCTCCTATCAAATCTGACAACACAGAGACAAATAAAAGCTCTTATAGAAGATTAAAGTGTTTTTCCTGTAATGATTAACTCATCGCAGATTATTATGAGAATAACTTCTTGGCTGTAATGCAAAAAAAGGGTCTCAAACAACTAGTAGATCCACAGAAAAAAATGTTTAATTGACAATTATGACAATAGTTTAGTTATTTTTTGGGGGGGGTATTTTTGCCTTTATTATAAAATATAAAATACTGAACACTATCTAGTAACAGCCTCTCAATTCTGAGGATCCTCTGCTTTTATTTGTCTGACTGTAAATTGGATATTTTGGGATTTTGGACAGAAATGTATCACAAAATTAATCAATAATAAAAATAATCATTAGTCGCAGCCCTTTTTCAAAAGTAAACAGTACCAACCTTTCTCTGGGATCTTCAGAGTGCAGGGCAAAGAAATGGGTGTGATGGAGTGTTGATAGACCAATGCTGACAGACTCCCTGCGGATAACAGATAACAGTAAAAATTCCTTACATTCCTGAACACTAACAAGATGTGTACAAACATAATTCTCTCTCTCCTGTAGGTAGCCCGTTTGTGGTACTTTAAATATTATTTTTTTCCTTAAAACAGTCATAAACTCCAACCCTAAAACTTACCAAAGTAGGGCTCATTCTGACATCCTTTAATCTTGACTCCTCG